CGCCAAAACTGGCAGGAAACGCCCCCTTAAAATTTCAGCTTTCTAGCTTTCCTGGCTCCTGAGTTATCACCTAAATGGACGGGGGACATCCCTCTAAAATTTCAGCGTTCTAGCTCCCCGAGTTATGAACTTACCCGGGGAAAATTTTGACGGGCCCGTACGCGGGTATCACGCCTACCCGGGCGATGGGCTTGAGTGTACTGACACCCAGTTGGACGGGGAACATCCTCCTAAGATTTTAGCATTCTAGCTTCTCACATCCTCGAGTTATGAACTAATCCGGAAAAAATTTTGGCGGGCCCGACGCGGGTGAGGGCGCCCACTTTGGGGATTGAGGCCCGTACTGCATATAGATTAAGTTCCCGAAGTTTCAGCCCTGCGGCTTTTATAGGTCTTGAGATGAAAAATCGGGAGAGACGCACACACAGACACACAGGCACACGGACACGCAGACAACCCCTCGTCAATATGCGTTTCCTGCATTGCATAAAAAACGCATAATTATAGTAGCTGACTCATCCAAAACATGATCATGTGTAGTATGGCTTCGAGTGATGAATAATAAGCACTGTACCTTATTACCCACATATTCTTCGGGTTTTTCAACAAAACTGTCTATTTTACCAGTTTTTTCGTTGAACACACAGACACCGTATTTGCTCGGTTCTTCAACCTGAAGAACACTACACTCAGCGAGTGGCTCAGGAGCTGAAAGCAACGCTAAACGTTTAATGAGAAAAAGGAGTGCCGACGAAATGCGCTCTCTGTATAACTGACCTTAGTGACGGCAATTGTGCCTTCGTGACCGTGTTTCATATGAAATTCGATCATTTGACGAAACGGAAAGTCGCAAATGATATCGGAATTCAAGACGAAAAATGGCTCGTCGCCTTTTAGAAGGTCTTTTGCTAAAGCCAAAGGACCAGCTGTTCCAAGCGGCTCTTCCTCCACCGAGAAATAAACCTTTACGCCTAGAACAGAGTGTGCAAAGTGAAAAGTGTCCAGGGCAGATACTCGCACGCCAGGATTGGCCTGAGGGGGACAGCGGAAAAAAAAACTTAGTCAAAATGACTGAACAAATCAAACAACTTTTATTCTAACTGAACGGTAATGGGTGCCTAACGTACTGACCAATCAAACCGCTTTTAGAATACTTTTAAAGCAATCGTTGAAATGTGGAACCA